TCTTATGTTAAAGAAATTTAGGAATAAACAAACAGGTGGAGAACAATGTTTGGGGAAGAGGAATGATCACTATTTCCCCTAAAACTCTGGTAACTAAAAATCCATTCATCCAGCACATGGTCAACCTTAACCACAATGAATGGTATGGTTTTCTGGGGTTTAGCAATTCTTTTTTCTTCTCTTTCTTTATAATAACTCCCTTTTTCAGAGGTAAAATGAGCTGTATTGCTTAGTGATAAATATGCTGTGCCAACTTTGCCTAAGCACACACACAAAAAGTACTCGGTTCATTTTTTATTTCCTTTAATTTAATTAATTTATTGGTTTTCTTCATTAAAAAATTACTTTTTCAAAAAAAAAAAAAAAAATTTTAGCCAACAAGGAATAGAAGGAAACTTCCTTAACCTGACAAAGAATTTTTACCAAAAATCAAGCAAACAAAATTTCAAAAAACATCACATTTGATTACCAAAAGCTTTCCCCCAGATGGAGAAGTAGGCAAAAATGCCCACTCTTCAACACTGTTTACCCAGCACTGAACTGGAGGTTCCAGCTGGTGCAAAAAAGGCAAGAAAAAGAATAAAGGTGTATGGGCCGGCCCGGTGGCGCACTGGATAAGTGCACCGCTTGGGAAGCGCGGCGGCGCTCCCGCCCGAGGGTTCGGATCCCACATACAGACCGGTTCCCGCTCACTGGCTGAGCGAGGCGCGGGAGCAACCCCGGGGGATGCGATCCCGTTGCCGGTCCCCGGTCCGGTACGGGGGCAACACTGAGGGTTGCGATCCGTTGCTGGACACGGAAAAAGAAAAAAAGAAAAAAAAAAAAAAAAAGAATAAAGGTGTATGGGCCGGCCCGGTGGCGCACTGGAGAAGTGCACCGCTTGGGAAGCGCGGCGGCGCTCCCGCCCGAGGGTTCGGATCCCACATACAGACCGGTTCCCGCTCACTGGCTGAGCGAGGCGCGGGAGCAACCCCGGGGGATGCGATCCCGTTGCCGGTCCCCGGTCCGGTACGGGGGCAACACTGAGGGTTGCGATCCGTTGCTGGACACGGAAAAAGAAAAAAAGAAAAAAAAAAAAAAAAAGGGGAAAGTTGGGGAAAGGACAAAATTACACTGGTACTGTTCACAGATGACATGATTTACAGAGGAAATCCAAAAACTATATGGACCAACTACTAATCAGTAAACAATTAATAAGTTAACTTAGCAAGATATCTGGATACAGAGTCATTTAAAAAATCAATTGCACTTCTATATACACACAAGTAAGTAGAAAAATTTTAAATTATATCATTGCTATATGGACCAACTACTAATCAGTAAACAATTAATAAGTTAACTTAGCAAGATATCTGGATACAGAGTCATTCAAAAAATCAATTGCACTTCTATATACACACAAGTAAGTAGAAAAATTTTAAATTATATCATTTACAATGGGATAAATCAAATGACAGATGCTGAACAGTTCTGTACTCAAAAGTATAGAAACATTACTAAGAGAAATTAAAGAAAGCCTTAAAAAGAGGAAAATATTCCACAGTCATGAAATGGAAAATTCCATAATCTATATGAACTATAGATTCAATGCAATGCTGATCAATATCCCAGCAGGAACTTTTATGGAAATTGACAAGTTGATTCTATGGTTTATTTGGAAATATAAAGGGCCAAGAATAGTCAAGGCACTCTTGAGGGGCAGTCACAGAGCTGGAGGATTCATATGCCAGACATGGAGACTCATAACGCTACAGCAATTCTGAGAGTGTGGATAGACAACAGCCTGATGAAAAAGAAAGGAGTCCAGAAACATACCCACAAGTGTATTTTTTCACCTGATATACGACAAAGTAACGATGCAGTACTTTGGGGGAAGGAATGCCTTTTCAGTAAATGACACTGAATCAGATATTCGCAAGGAAAGCAAATGACTCCAACTTCACACCACACAAAATTAAATTCTAGATGGATCATAACACCTAAATGTGAAAAGTAAAATAAAGTTTTTAGAAGAATATGTATGAGAATAACTTCATGACCTTAGGTTTGGCAAAGACTTTCTAAGGAGGAGAAAAATTAACTACGATAAAGGGAAAAATAGACAAATTAGATTACATTAAATTAAGACTTTTCATTCATTCAAAACATGTATCTGACAAAAGACATGTATCTGAAACACATAAAGAAATAAGAAAACGTTAGCAAGCAAATGGAAAAATAAGTCAAACGTGAATAGTTCATAAAAGAGGATATTCAGATAGTCAACAAGCACATGAAAAACATCATTAGTCTCAGGCAAATGCAGACAGAATCATAACTTGAAACTTCAACACACCCACCAGAGGGACTAAAATGAAACAGACAGATACCATCAAGTGCTGATGAGGATGTGGAATGAACAGAGCTCTTCACACATGGCTCATGGGAGTGAAAACTGCTGCAACTCCTTTGGAAAACTGGCAGTAAGTCCTAAACCAAACAATCCTACTGCTATGTTTACACCTTGCACAAACGCCTATGTATGCTCACCAAGAGACTCACCTGAGAATGTTCATAGCAGGACTATACACAATACTCCTAAAATGGAAACAAACCAAATGTCCACCTACTGCAGCATACATAAATGAGTTCTGGTATATTTATGCAATGAAATAACATCCATCCATGAGAATGAACTAACTACAATGTTATACAATATTATGCATGAGTCTCACGTGCTGAACAAATGAATGCAGACACAAAGAACATCTTTTATATAATCCTGTTCACATAGAACTTAAAAACAGGTGAAGCCAGCAGAGTGAGTAGTCAGGACAATGGTTCCTCACTCCCTAGTGTGAAGGAGGACATTAGTGCTGGAAGGTGCACAGGGGCCTGGGACCTGCAACACTTCTGCTCTGAGTGCTGCTTACAGGAGTGCTGCTTACAGGCGTGCATTTGCTCGGTGAAATGCATCAAGCTGCATATATGCTTATGATTTATACTTCATGAAAACATGATATGGAACCAAAAAGTGCCAAACACAAAAAAATATATCCTGCATAATTCCATTCTCACAAAGTCCAAAGTAGGACACAACTACACTACACTGTTGAGAATGCACACATAGAACACTCAAAACCAGTGCAGTGGTGGTCACCACCAATCAGGGAGTGATACAGTGAGTATGAGTATCAGTAGTGAGGCAATGTTCTTTCCATCTGACAGCTGTGCTGGTTTCTCAGGAATTCGTTTTATAAAATTCATCAAGCTTCATGGTTGTACTATATCTATAAGATTTTACAGCTAAACCAGAAACACAACTGCTTTCTGTTAACACTTGCCATAGGTGAGGGTGGACATGGCCTTCCCCGTTGTATCCAAGGCGGTCAAACAGGGGGCTTTGGGTTGCGTCGTACCCCACCGCTGCAGGGCAGCCAGCAGTGATGGAGGCCAAGGAGTCCCCAGAGCCAGAGGTTCCCCTTTCAGCACCCCCATCTGATTTCCCTCAGGTTTTGGCTGATTTGGATCTGGTTGTGGAACTATAAGCAAAAGCAAAATTTACAAATCAACATTTCAGAATACCACGCACACATTCTGTTTTTAAGCACTCATACTTTATAATTTTGTTGTTTAATCCCAACTATAAAAAGCTTATGATTATTTGTTCAGATTTCTTCATCACTATCATAGTCACAGACCAATTAACCAAAGGACTAAAAGATATTCATGGATAATGATAGTTTTGAAATAGAATTAAAAATAATCCATCATCCTGGTAATCACAGCCTCACACAACAAAGGTGACCTTTGGAGGTGTTTCCACCTTCCCACTTTCTGGACAGGACTGTGGCACCTTTCCTGCCCCACAAGGCCATAGTTTTGAAATAGAATTAAAAATAATCCATCATCCTGGTAATCACAGCCTCACACGACAAAGGTGACCTTTGGATGGTGTTTCCACCTTCCCACTTTCTGGACAGGACTGTGGCACCTTTCCTGCCCCACAAGGCCAGTGGAGTAGCTGTAACAGGCAGGCTTTCACAGCCTGGGAACTGGGGCCTAGTGACCCGCTCACACAGGGTAGAAGCGAGCAGAATCACCACCTCAATATGGCATCGAAACGACCATCACCTTGTTGAAAGAAAACGAATAAAGTAAAATCTATTTCTAGTGGCTTTGTAACCAAAATTTGCCCAAGCGTTAAGAAAGACTGCTCTAAGAAGTATCATACCATTGAACCCTGAATTTGAAAGACACTGTCTGGTTATAAAGGGGAAACAATGTCCTAAAAATCATGTCTAATACTCAGGTATGAGCAGACACTTGGGCTGATCTGTTGCCGGTGACAATGCACAAAAGAGGTGATGAGCTGAGGGTTGGGCCAACGTGGTGCCCCTGTGGCTTTAACAACACATTCACATGCTTGTACTGGGCTTCATTTCTGTTCCTTTTCCACAGGTTTAGACAAGGGTACTTCAAAAAGTTCATGGAAAAACACATTGAAAGATAAAAATAAATATTTCCATGAACTTTCTGAGGGACACTCATACTTCTCTCTACTTCTTGCTGGTTTTCTTTTTAAAAAATAAATATATATTCTTTTTTCCAAGTATATATTTCATTAATAAACGAGAAACTAAAATTCTGAAAAGGGGCTAAACTATGCTGAAAATTGAGTACTTTAAAGCCATGGGAAGGTAAGTATTTCAGATTTAAAGTGTAAATAAAAATTTAAATAATGTAAGTTGAATGAAACCTTAGAAGTATGTTTATAAAGTACTAGCCACTGGACCAGATATTGAGAGAAATGCTAAGTCATTTTAATATCAGCAAAATTTTCTACCTGCTCAAATTAAGGAAGTAGTCATATGTGACTAAATTTACCATTACACATGATGACTACAGAATCTGAAAACAAAGAGAATATTACTTTGCTGTGTTAAAACATAACAGCAAACACGAAAGCTGAAAGTCAGAGAACTCTTACCTCCCAGCAATTCCTCAAAATCGTCCACAAAGAATTCCTTCAGGGGAGGGCGCTTCGGCCTCTTCAGGGTGTTTAGAAGCTGCTGGATTTTGGAGGACACTCTGCTGTTCACTGGGACACCTGTCAAGGGAGGAGTGGAGGAGCACTGAGGGCACAACACATCACACCCTAACGTGGAGATGGGACAGAGATGCAAGGCCCGAGGACAATCCACAGGAATGTATCAGACTTTACAAATCCAGGCGCTGGCCCCTGAGACAGTCACTCTGGAATTTATTAATTCATTTAGCAAGGGTTTACTGAATGCCTTCAGGAAACAGGACTTGTTCTAAGCCAGAAGTTTTCAAAGTGGTTCAGGAACCCCACGGGCACCAAAGACCCTCCAGGGGTTTCATGAGGTCAAGACTATTCCATGGTAACATTAAGATACCATTTGCTGGGCCGACCCCGTGGCTCACTCGGGAGACTGCGGTGCTGGGAGCGCAGTGGCGCTCCCACCGCGGGTTCGGATCCTATATAGGGATGGCCAGTGCGCTCACTGGCTGAGTGCGGTGCGGGCAACACCAAGCCAATGGTTGCAATCCCCTTACCAGTCACACACACACACAAAAAGATACCATTTGCCTCCTTGGCTCTCCTCCTGTCACGGGTTTTCCAGAGACCACACGTGTGATATAACAACAAACTGATGTGAACCCAATGTGACAGCCCAGGTGCTCTGTTACGCCAGCCAGGAAAAAGATCAGCAAAAACATAAAGTAAGCCCGTTCTTCTCACTAAAATGTTTGTTGTTTTGGAAATTTACTTTCATAAGTATGAGGGTATTTTGAAACATTCATGGAAAGATTCATATTATCTTTTATTCTATTTTTCCACAAACTTTTTAAAGTACCCTTATATGTGCTTTATATTAACATGTAATGAGTTTATTATTTTTTTAAGTGAGTTAATAAATTAAAAAATTTTTAGTTTTAACTTCTAATATGGTAAATATTAAGAGATACAACCCATGCAAACTAAAAGCTCTTTAGGGTTCTCAATAATAGTAAAGAAACTGCTGTAGGAGATGGAAAGTCAGCAAAAAAGACAGAAGAGTCTGCCTCAAGTGACTCACCATTTGTTGGGTTAAAACAAACAAAAATATACACATATGCCAAAAGCAAGAACACTGCACGCAGGGAGCAGACAACCAAGAGCACCTGTCGACGCACCACTGTAGAGGAGGAGCAGGCAAGACCCCTGAGCCCCACACTCACTCCACCAAGGGAGAAATTTAGCTGATCCTCCTCCCAACTGCAAGTATGGAAGTTGATGCCATGATGTCCTCTTACTACATTTTTTCTCCAATAAAGATGTCAAGTACTCCACCATTTACTTGTCACGTCTCTCTAGCCTCCTTCAATCTAGGACATTTTCTCAGCCTTTCTTTGTCCCTTGTGACATTGGCATTTTGAAGGAGTACAGTTCTTTCTTTTCATTAAGTAGAGTGTACCTCATTTTGAGTTTGCTTAAGGTTTTCTCATGACTGGATTCAGGTGCTGCATTCCTGGCTGAGATACTGCCAGAATACCATGTCCAGAGATATGTGATGTCCAACTACCTTGGTGTGGTACTGATTCCACCACCTAGTCAGAGTGCTGTCTGACTCCTCCACTGCTGTGCAACCAAAAAGCAATGTGTGAGAAGATACTTCAAGACCGTGTGAATATCCTGATCCTCATCAAACTCTCTCCCTGGATTTAACAGCCAATTGGATCATTCTTGCCAGAACCAATTTTTACTGAGATGGTTGCAAAACAATTTTCCAATTCATCATTCCATTTACGTCTACCAGTCAGCACCTGGAATTCCATCTGTCTATTTTTCTATCTATCTGGGATGACTCTCACAGATAGCTATTTTTTACACTGTTTATAAATCATTATGTTTCTTAACTATTTTGATGCACAAATTGTCCCAGATTTAGCCACTGGGAGCCCCTGAAAGTTGACTTGTGGCATGCTCCAATCATTTATCTTAAGCACTGCCTTACATTCTGCCATAAGGATATGTTTCAGTGTCATCCAGTGCTACCCTGCCCCAGCCCTGGAATCAGCCATTTCTCTCAGGAGCCCTGGTCCTCCTGAGCGAAGAAAGACCAAGATGCAGGCCCTGGGCATGCTCATTGCTATAGCAATGCCTTCACTTCTTTTTGAAGACAGAAGTAAAAAGCACACATGTGTATATATATATATATACATATGTATGTAGTCACAGATCCTACCTGTACAATCTACATATGCTCACGGGCCAGCATAAACATATTCATATTTTAGAACTCATCAATCCATACCAATATTCTCACTTCAATCTGCCCCACAGGGTCCTCTCTTACCTTTCCACACTCATGCCTGGATGTCCCTTCTTCGACACTGAGAACCCCAGCTCCAGCAGCATTGATACCCTTGCTCACTTGCTCGATACTATCTTATGTCTAACATGACTTCTGAATCGCTTCACCCACACGACTACAAAAAACAAGCCTACCAATAAGAGTTCAGAATTTGTCTGCTGTTCCTCCCACCCAGTCCCATTCAAGACTGAGGGTGTACAGTCAAATACCATGTTTGTAACTTACTTATGTTAATTAGCTCTCTCTCCCATCGACCCCTTAAGGGTGGCTATGGTATTCATTTGAATTACAACTGGGTTCATTTATTTCCGCTTGCTTTCTGCTTTAGGGGTGTTTCCTTCTCTTCCATCCTTTAAGTCTGTGTTTTGTCTTTTTTACTGACCGGTAACGGGATCACAACCCTCGGTGTCGTGCCCGTACTGGGGACCGGCAACGGGATCGCAACCCTCAGTGTTGCGCCCGCACCGTGCTCAGCCAGTGAGCGGGAACCGGTCTCCACATGGGATCCGAACTCTCGGCGGGAGCGCTGCCGCGCTCCCAAGCGGCGCACTCTCCAGTGCGCCACCGGGCTGGCCCTAAGTCTATGTTTTGAATATGTAGAACGTTAACAAACTTCTATAAGTTAAGACTACATAAATAGATAAATGCAAAGAGATGTCACTCCCTTTGTGCTCCTTCCACCCACTCCACCTCCTCCTGTAAGTAACCACCGTCATTGTGCTCTGATTTACCCTTCGTGGGTTTCCTCCTACAAAGAAAGGCAGCTATATGAATGATTTGTTATTTTCCCCTGTTCCTCACACAAAATGTGGTATACCATAAATGTTCTACTCTTAACAATATCTGTAAAAACACCTCATTACAGTTTATAAAGATCTTTCTCATTCATTTTGAAAGCTGCAAAGTACTGCATGATATGAATGTACTAGCTTTATTCAACCAATTATTCAACCAACTTGTGACACTTGGATAACTAGGTAGTTTCCAATACAGTCAGCCCTCCTTATCCATGGGATCCACATCCACAGATTCAACCAACCATGAATCAAAAATATTCAGAAAAATAAAAAAAATAAAAAAATAAAAATACAATAAAAAATAATGCAAATAAAAAACTATACAGTATAATATCTATTTACACAACATTTACTCTGTATTAGGTATTACAGGAAATTTAGAGATGATTTAAAGTATATGGGAGAATGTGCATAGGTTATATGCAAATATTATGCCATTTTATATAAGGAACTTGAACATCTGTGGATTTTGGTATGGGGTGGGGGCCTGGAACCAGTCCCCCGTGGATACTGAGGGGTGGACTGCATATTGCAATTGAAAACAGTGTTGCGATAAATAACCTAGTAACATAAGTATTTACTTCTTTTTTGGAGGTGTGTGCTCAGGGTAAATTCCTAGATTGATCTTTCTCATTCATTTTGAAAGCCGCAAAGTACTCCATGATATGAATGTACTAAGGTACACTGGGTCCAAAGTAAGTGTTTTACCAATTTCCCCTCCAAAGGTGTTGAACTATTTTACATTCCTACCAACACAATTTGTATTTCTCTAATTATGAAAAAGGTTGAACATTAAATTTTAAAACTATCTTTATATGTCTTTTTGTGAATTGCCTGTTCATATTTTTTGCCTATTTTCCTATACCAGGATTTACAAACCTTTTTTTAAAGGGCTAGATAGTAAATATTTAGTCTTGTGGGCCATACAATTTCTGCTGTAACTATTCAATTCTGCCACTGCAGCATGAAAGCAGCCATATGCAATATGTGAAGGAAGGGCGTGGCTATGTTCCAATAAAACTTTATTTACAAAAACAAATGGCCAATCTATGAGCCTAGTTTGCTGACCCCTGATCCATATGATTTGGGGATATTTTCCTCTTGATTTTTTTGTTTTTGTCTTTTT